AATTAACAATCCATTTATAAGAACTATGTTAAAATTAGCAAAATTTGATTTTATGAGAAATCTATTAAAGCAGTATAGTAACTTTTATAATATACTAACAATTTTAAATAAAATATCCTGAAACATAATTATAAAATCCATATAAAAAAATTATATCTTACTTTAATATAAAAATCAATCATATAATAATATAAAATTCTTATTATAAACGGTTAAAATATCATGGGCAAAGGATCAATGTAATATTTAACATATCAATTTGCATTTTTTGATATAGATAGAAAAAGTATCTTGGTTAATAGTATTTGTCTTGATTATTGAGCATAAATAATTTAAAAAATTTGTTTATTAAAGGAGAAAAATGCCAATTTGTTGATAAATGATTAAAGTGATCTAGTAGTTAAATATTTTTAAATATATTTTTATCTTCCTTGTTTGTTAACAAAACTTTGGATTATAGCATATAGAAACAATTACATATAACATCCATAATTATCTAAATTAAACATGCAGCGATATTATATTGGAAAAAATATTAATAATATTGAAGTGCTGCCTAGTGTTGCGTAATCTGCTAATTTCGGCCGACTACAAAACGGCAATGCCGATATTTTAGGTAAAAAAAATCAGCTAGGCTTAATTAGGTTTAACCTAAAAATCGACGAAACATAAATAGACAGCCTAAAAATCAGCCAAACCTAATTAGGCTTAGTCTAAAAATAGGCTAAAACTAAATAGTAAAAATTTCTTCATCAGCTAATCGTACGTCAGCGTTCCGTAAGATATGCCTGCCTAGCATTAATTATTATTTATTTATTTTAGTAAAATAATTTATTATTTATATTTAATGTAAATATTTTATTATTATCAACAAATAAACATCATGAAATGATTTAATGTTTTTTATTTATATTATTATATTATGTCGTCGGGGTGGCCTAGTGGGTTGTGATGTATGCTTGGAAACAGAAGGTACCAGGTTCTATCCTGATAAGGAACGTAAAAATTTTCAGGTTTTTCTTCGATGGCTGATGTGTAAAGACATATGGTAAGATAAATTTTGGAGCTTAGAGATAACACCACGGTCACTGACAGGCTTGGAGAGCCGGGTGCTAAGATACTTGTCCAATAAACTAAATGAAGGAAGGAAAATATGAATATGAAAGCTAGGGCGTTACCTCCGTGGGACGCACAGGGTGTAGACCTACATCTGTGAAAAGTAAAATAAAGGTCAAAGCAAAGAAGACAAGGTTAGCAAGTTATATTGTACACCTAAAGGTATGACGAGAGAATTAGCATCAAAAAGAGAAAGGTTGATATAGCATGCTTACAAGAGACTAAATTGAAAGGTAAGAAGACTCTAATGATTGGTAATGTATATAAATTGTACTATAATAAAATTGTTAGTAATAGGAACGATGTCGGCATCATCCCCAATCAAGATCTAACCTCCTCAGTGGTAGAAGTTAACTGAATCTCTGAGAGACTAATGAAAATTAAACTCACATCCTTTCAGCTCCTCAAACGGGTTGCAGAGAAGAAGAGAAAGATGACTTTAGAGCTATCCTTGATGAAGCTATGATAGAAATTCCTAAAGATGACCTAGTCATAATAGGTGGTGACTTAAATGCGCATGTGGGAAAAGCAAGAAATAGTTACAAAAGGCATCATGTTGGTTTTGGATATGGAGAAAAAAATAATGAAGGAGAGCATGTACTGAAATTTACGCAAGCCTTTGACCTAGCCTTAACCAACACCTACTATAGGAAAAAAGACAGTTATTTAGTAACATATGAAAGTGGTACAAGAAAAACACAGATAGAACATGCTTATCTCTTGCAGAGGATTCTCGCAGAAGATTAAAAGATGTAATACACTGCAAAGTCATCCCAGGAGAAGATATTGCCGTGCAAACACAATCTAGTCACAGATTTACACCTCACAAATAAATCCACTCAAAACATAAACCTTGAAACATGCATCAAATGGGGTAGATTAAAATCAATGAAATGCCTTTTCAATGAAAACATTGAAACAATAGATTCTTTACAAGTCGTGAAAAAATGTGGACCAAATAGCACTGCCAAATCGACACTAGGCTTGACAAGAGGAGGCAACAAATCATACAAAAAACTATGGTGGTGAGCCCTACATAAAATATGGTACAAATCCAAAAACCCAGATGATAGACAAAATGCAAAAAATCCAAAAGAATAGCTACAAAGGCGGTGGCTAGAGCCAAAGCAATGGCATACGATTACGAAGAACTACTTATTAAAGAGGGGCAAAATAAAATATACAGATTAGCCAAACAGGGAGAAAAGAAATCTAGGGATATAAATGAAATTCTATAATAGAAAATATATATGATTCTAAAACTATTAATGTATATATGATTCTAAAACTATTAATGTATATAACTATGCATTCACAGTTAGCAAAATTTTGTATATAAACGCGAAATCGCATTGAGTCCGAATTCAGGGTAAGATTTTTATGAAAAGAACTTAAAAACCATATGAATATTATTTATCAATATGATAAAATCAACATCCTATAAATTTAAGTTAAGATTTTGATGTTTATAAACATACAATCTATTTTTTTATAATCCATTAGCGTCAAAAAAATTCAAAAAACTTTAAAAATAACTATTATGAAAATTGTCACTTATCGACAGGGACGAGAATCCGAACCCACCTGAATCCTCCCGAATCAATATTTCACCAAACCCGAACCGAGACACTTTTTTTAATTTAGGTTTCAGGGTTCAAGTATTTTTTTTTAATTTTAAAAATTTTATTTTTTTTATTTTAAACTTTCATTCTATTTATTTTAAATTTACGTTAAAAATAATATAATATAAAAAACATGTAATTTACGATTTTTATTTATAAAAGATTTCCTATTTAAAAAGAGTTCTTATTCAAAACAATAATTATTTTTGTTATATTTAATAATTTTTTAAATTATATTGTAGTATTATTCGGTTTAGAAATGGAGTGCTCCACTTATTCAAATGTTTAAATTGAGAAAATCAACAAGTTTAAAATTAAATATAGGAAAAACTTATTGATCAATTTTGACAATAACTTGCGAAAAAATTAATATTTTTTAATCTAGTTTTTATTTTTATATATATTGGGAATAAATAAGTTATTAAATTCAAAAATTTTGAATGTTTAAAATGAAAAAATCAAAATTAAAATTTAATCAATTATAGGAAAAATTTATTGATCAATTTTGACAATAATTTTAGCAAAAATTATTATTTTTTATCTAGTTTTTATTTATATTTATATTGGGAATAAATAAGTTATTATCCACTTCTAACTCAAATATTTTGAGAATGTAGAGTGCAGCACTTTTCTAGACCGACGATATATAATAAATTATAATTATGATGATAATTATTTTTATGAGGATACTAATTAAAATAAATTTTTTAAGAAATGTTCTATTATTTTAACTAATTTTAATAAGTCACTTTTTTTCTGATCTCCAAGCTCTGAACTTTTTCACTGAACCCAAACCCAAATTCGAACCCATTTTTTTAGAAGGAGAGTTCTCGTCCCGGCCTATCGATGGTACATCTTCATTCAATTTTTAATTTAACATTTTTACAATCTATATTTTTACCCATTTGAGTCAAAAAAAATTGAAAAATAATAAAAATAACGATTAATTGTCAGTTATCTATGGTACATCTTCATGAAATTTTATCTAAACATTTTGGCAATACTTATTTTGTTAAAAAATTTAAAAAAACATAAAAAATTACGATTATGACAATTTTTACTTTTATATGGTACATCTTAATTGAAATTTTAATATAACATGTTAATAATACATATTTTTGCCCATTAGCGTCAAAATAAATCTAGAATTTAAAACCCATTATGATAATTGTCATTTTTCCATGGAACATCTTCATGGAATTTATAATTTAACATCTTTACAATATAAATTACCCTAAAATTTCAAAAATGTTAAAAAATAACGAATATGACAATTGTCATATTAAAATATTATCCTTAAAAAGATCATTATAAATAACACAAAAAAAGTTTAATATATATTTTTTTTAAATTATTTAGAAAAAACAACCTCTATTAATATACTTATCAAAATAGATAATTTTACAAAAATGATAAAAAAACTACAAAATAAAATAAAATTTACAAAAAAGATTTATTTACAAAGAAGATTTAAAATTCTTATCAAATCAAAATATGTTTAAATATCTTTTTGAACTTCAAAAAATATTTTTTGCTTAAAATTTTAGGCGTGAAAATCACTAATAAATTGTAACAAAAACAATATTACAATAAGCACATCATTTTTTTTATTAAAAAAATATTTTTATTTCATAATGTAATAATCTAAATAAAAAAATATTAAATCATATTATGATGTTTATTTGTTCATAATAATAAAATATTTACACTAATTATAAATAAAATAAATTATTTTACTAAAATAAATAAAAATAATTAATACTAGGCAGCCATATCTTACGGAACGATGACGTACTATTAGCCGATGCAGAATTTTTGACTAATTTAGTTTTATCCTATTAATAGGCTCCTAATTAGTTTTAGCCGATTTTTAGGCTAAACCTAGAACTCAATTTATATGGTATACAATCAGGGAAAAAGTAGGAATAGTAAGGAAATATAATAATAATATTTTTTGTGTCAAGGCCAGAATGGCCTATATTTTATTAATAATATAATATTACTCTGCATTACTCTAACACTTATATAACATGTTCAAGATTATGGACTTACTTAAAAGATTCAATTTTAAACAAAATGATATCTCACATAATTATTAATATTTGTAAAAAAAATAAGCAAAGATCTCCAAAATAAAAAATATCACAGGAAAAAGTCATTAAAAACAAAATTCTATTTTGAATTAAAAATCAAAGAGATAAATTGTTTTTATCAAAATCAGGCATGAGGTACAATAATAGTTTAATAAGGCAATTATTTTACTAATAGCTTCAGCTTGTAACGATCTTTGTATGGGTGTTCCTAGAGTACCTGGTATGACTACTAGAACTCGACAATTACTAGGAGCTTGAAAATAATATATATTAAAATATAAAAAAAATTATTATATATACTTTAAATTATATTTTTATTACAAGATTTATGAGAGAATAAAATATGTATTTTTTTAAAATCTTTTATCCAGTTTCAATTTGAACAACATAGAAAAAAAAAGTTTAAGGAAAAATGTCAATTCCCCTATTTTTACAAATCCTTCAAAAACAAAGTTCATAAATAAATATTTTTTTAAAATTAATTTTTATACTTCTTAATTAATATTATTTAAATGCAATTTTTTATGGGCCAAAATATAAGGAAAATCGGGGATAGTGCAATCCAGAGGCAGGTAATTTCTTCCCAAACTTTGAATTTAAAATAAACCTTATAAATATATTTAAATTAGTTGCTCCAACGTTTTTTAAATTGTTTCGCAGAAATATGTTTATGAAAAGTTCTAATACAAATTTAAATTTTAACACTAATTTTTTACATTTTTGCTTAGTAAGTTTATTTTATAAAGTAATGAGACTAAATATCAATTTTAAACAATAAATTAATCTTAATATTATCATATATATGTGAAGAAAGTTTTTACGAGGTGCTTACTATCCATTTTTAAACAGGGATATATTTTTAATAAAAAAAATTTAACTATATTTATAAGAATACTAGAAGCCAAAAGTTAGTCACGAATGAAAATATGGATATGGCTGCTTATTTTTTGTAATTTAATACAGTTTTGAATGACATGAATGAATCTGGTACATCTAAAATATTTGAATATTTTCATTTATTTACTCAGGTATAAGATTTTTATATAAATTTTTTAAATCTAAAAATAAAATAGAGCTATAAAACACACCGCAAAAGGATAAAAGGAACTACAGGTGTTTTAATTATGTTAAATTTTATATTAATAAAAAACTCTATTTCTTAAATAATAATTTCTACCAAGATATATATGCATAAATTCGTTAAAATATTTAGGAAAATTTGCTTCATCTATTTATAACACTTAATTTTTTATTGATAATATATCCCCTTCCTAATTAGTTTTTGATTAAACGATTTTTTATTTTAAAACAGCAAAAATTCCATAATTTTGTATTATTACTTAGTGAAATGAAATGTAAAGATCAATATAAGAAATTATTCGCTAAAAAAATATTATTAAAATTTTAAGAGGAAAAAAAATGTTTTAATCTTTGTAAATTTGTAAGAGGTAATGTATGTATGAATGATTTTAGTATAATTAAAAAATATATTTTGAATTATCTAATACAAATTATTAGCTAAAGGAACTAATATTGAGAAAAAGAGCCATAAATGAAAGCCGTAATGCTTGATATCTATTAGTGCTCTGCATCAGGCCTAATTTTTCAAACCAGGCCCGGCCCAAATTTTTTTTAAAAAAATTTTTCCGCCCGGCCCGGCTTAAAATGGAAATTATTTTTCATAAAACTTAACGGCCCGGGCCTAACTTATTTAAATATAGAAATTAATTTTTATAATTACTCAAAATAAAAGACATGTATTATATGGCGTTTAGTTCTATAAATAAAATGAAAAATTTTTATAAATAATATTAAAATTTATTTAGAATATAAAAAATAAAATATTGAAATTTATATAAAAATTTAATATCAAATATTGAAATTTATATAAAAATTTAATATAAAATGGATAAATTTAAATATATTTAAAAATTTTCCAAGGCCCTATCCGATCCGGCCAGAATTTTATTTAAAAATATTAGGCCAAACCCGGCCCAAACCAGAATTTTATAAAATAATTAGGCCCGAGCCCTGCCTGAAGCCAGTACGGGTCATGTAGGTAATGGCCGGGCATACTTTTACAGATCTCTAATATCTATATCAATTTTAAAATTGAAAGATAAAGGCAAATGGTGAAATTGTCAAGAAATGTAAAAATATATAATAAGGTTAGAATTAATGTTCTTTGAAAATAAGAAGAGTATTTAAAAAAAATTTAAAGCTGTAAATAGTAGGTGGTATGGGAACACAATGATAAGGCCTATTAACTATAAGGAAATAAGGTAAAGAGTTTGGAAGTGATGGGCAAACGTAAAAGAGGAAGTCCAAAATTTCAATGGGGCCATAAAGTTAGAATAAATATGAAGAAATATAAATTAGACAAAAGAGATAGCATGTAATAACATAAAGTGGAGAAAGAAGGAGTTTATCACCAGAAAAGGTGAAAGCTAAAAGAAAAAAAATTGAAGTATATAAAAAAAATTGAATATGAAGAAATAGTTTATTTCAAATTTGTAATGATTAACATATATATTCATAAAAATACTAGTTTTGTAGCAAATAGGAATACAAATTGAATGTTGTTACAGGAAATAAAAATATAGGACTGAGAATATAAGAATTAATTAAGTACCCTGGGGAAATTTAATCACTCTTGTTTAAATATTTTTACTTTGCAACAATAATGATGGAATTTGATATGACAGGGTCCTTCATTAAGATAACCTAATTACAGATGATCTAATTTCTGATTATGATAGCATATTATGAATCTTCCTTATAGGCAGTAATTTGAGAATTTTGGGGGTTTCATAAGAATAATTAGTAGAAAGTTGGTTGTAAATAAATAATTTGAATTTTAGCGGTTAGGACTTAGTGAATTAATTCCATTTCATACGTAAAAAATATAATTTCAAATTAACTTTGGTAACCTCTTTTTAAAGCAAAATATGTTTAAAATACAACTTTTCATATTTTAAGTGATATTTTACTTATAATCGTTATATTATGCCTTTTACTATTTTTAAAAATAAGTTTATTTACCATTATTATTATATTTATAAATAATTTAACATAATTTTATTATTTTATAAAAATCATCTAGATTAGTATAACTAATAGCTGCATCTTAAGCGTGTTTATTTTATTTTTTATAATTTTGGACTAAGGTGATCAAACTTCACCAAATTATTTTATTTATAATTTTATTTAGGTATTTTTCTAATAATTTCAAAAGTAAAATTTTGGATCGGATGTGCCATTTGAAAAAAAATATCTAAATTTTATCGAAGGTTGACAAAATTTTAAAATAATTATTTGTGGAATATTTTTAATTTGGAATTGCATAGAAAATATTTAATTAATTTATTTTATCTCCGTTTAATTTTATAAGTAATTTCAAATAACATGGAATTAAAAAAAATGAATATCATTATTGAAGGGATACATTCAGAATAGTATATAGCGATTTAATGTATCGTGTTAGACAAGAATTAAACGTAATACAAATAATAATGATCTTTAATGTAATTATAAATTTTTCTATATAACAAAAAAAAACTAATTATCTACGACTTAATCGCCGCAGAACAGTAAAAATACAAATTTATATATTAAATAAACCTATTATATCAGCATATACACAAAAATTATAAATGTAAATTTTTTATTAAAATACAACACGCCGACTCCTAATGGGTCAAGAGCTATATGTCTAAAAAAATACTTTAACATTTTTGCATTTCGTGTAGGACAATTATTTCATTTTTTTTAAAATTATTAATATGTTCAATATGCATCAGGGGTTGTGGCTATAATAATCCCATAACATATTCTAGAATTTATCTCACTTTTCAATGGCTCCTTCGAAAATTTCGTGTCAATATATATGTAAGCTGTAACCCATACGTTAGATGAAGTCTAGTGAATCCTCCATTTGAACATAAAATTCTGTAAAAATTATACTATATAATTTCCCTAATGAAATTAACGAAACTGATAATGCTTCCTATTCATAGAAGAATGGTGTTAAAATTATCTTTATTTCAATCCTCCCATGTGAAACGCAGCTTTTTAATAAAGGCCGTTTGATTCGTCTCCATTACGAGATCTCCAAGAGATATGTGGCTTTTTGGTTTATAGGAAGACCCCATTTGATTATTCTTATCCGACTACTATTTTTAGAATAATATATGATAATATTAATTGAAATCAGCATATTTCGATAAAAGGATTTCGATACAAATCTTTTATAATATAGAAATTTTAATTTTCTTATTTTATTTTATTATTCTCCCATTATCCATTTCTTTATATTCAAAATAAATATAATCTGATGTATTTGAATACTTAAAAATTTTCCGAATATAAGTTTTCAATCAAAGCAGTAAATGTCGAAAAACTATGATATCCTGGAATATCCTAAAGGAAATTATAATTAAAATAATTTGATAATATAGTAACTATGACTAGGGCATTGCTTCATACTTCGTAAAAAGAGATTTAGAATAATCATGAATGTATTCTATTCGAAATAATATTAATGATAATGAAGTAGCTACGGAAAAATGATTTAGAATAATTCATAATTTATTTTATTCCAAATAATACAGGTTACTAATATATTCTGATAATATGATAACTACCAAAATATTATCGAATAATTATGGCGATATTTTCGCTATGATTTTTGAAATTAGATTTTATTGAATTTGGGATTGCATAAAAATTACTTTATTAATTATTTTACATTTTAAATTACTAAATTATATATAAGGGTATTTTTATTAATGATGATACACTTGAAAAGACAATTTTTATAATATCTTTTTTTCTTTTTGAAATATATAAAAAAAAGTAAAAGCGAGTGTAAATCTTTAAAGACCAAAATCCTTGGCTTTTCGTAAAAATATTTTAGAAATAGTTTGGAATAAGCTGTGTGGTAGAGAAAACAAAATGAAAAACCAAAATATCAAAAATTAAAATTAATAAATTTACACATTATTATATTGAGAAAATGTTTAAAAAGAAATTGGAACTATGGTTGAGTAATTACTAAATTTTTAGCCAAATAAACAGATTACATTGGCAATCCTTTTTTATTATAAAGATAGCAGCGTAAATTTTAAATAAACAAATATAAATTAAAAGCTTAAATATTAACAGATTTTTTTCCGATAAGAATATGATGATTGAGCCAAATTAACTGACATTCAGTCATTGTTCAACTATAGTTATAAAATAAAACTTATATCCATGAGAAACAACATCTATTATATATTGTTTTACCAAGAAGTTACAATGATTAAATTATAATAATTTGAATATCTGAATAACATAACGTTTTTTTATGGTTGAAAGTTAATCTAAACGCTATTCAGTAAATCAATTCTTTTATATTGATTAATAGGAGATAATCATTTGATAGCCAATATGAATATGAGACAGTTGTGATCACTTCTATTTCATGGATATATTCCCTCAAGACTGATTTAGCTTTTATTCTAATAAAAATAGAATTTAATTCTGAAGGTTTCAAAAATATTAAGATATAATTTATCTAATATATTTTTCTAAATTTTGTATGATATAATTTTAAAGCATTTTAAGTTCGAAAAAATAGTGACAAAAATGACAAATTTAAATAATATAAACAAAATATTCAAATAATTTGATAAAAAAATATTGAAAATCATAGTTGAAAGAAAGAAAGAAAGAAAGAATATGTGTTCTAAAAATATAAAGATAAATATTTTATCTTGGATTTTGATAATATATCTGAATCTAATCATTTAATCACTCTGTTATCTAGCTACGACTATTGGTTAATAGTAGACAATAGGTTTAATCTAAGGTAAGTAAAAAGTCCGGATTAGACTAATAAATATTTTATAAATTAATATATTTATTTCTAGTTTTATAATATAATATATTTAAATATAATATAATAAATATGTCTTATTTAATAATTTTCTTGTTAAAAATTAAATCGAAGACCACAGATCATTGAAAATATCAATCACTTCGTTTACACGCTTATTTAAAATGCTCTATATATTTTAGACAACGTAACCTCCACTAAGTAGACAAAGTGACCCACACTAAATATTTTTATTAGATTGGATCGGTCTTAAGTCCAAACCTACCATCATTTGTTTTTCACTAGTTTAAACGAGTGTCTGAGAATATTTAAAAAAATAAATTATAATTAAAAGAATTTAAAATAATTAATCAAATTAACTTTGGCATTATTGTTAAAAAATATCTAAAATAATATTTTAAAAATAAAACTAAATAAAATCTCATTATTAACGATATAATAATTACTTAAATTAATACAATTTCTAAATCAACACCATTAAAGATTTTATTAATTGGTTATATGATGGTTATTATTTAATTCAAAAAATTAATATTTATCATAGTTTAATGATTAGATGTAAATCATAACACATTTTGGAGTATGCCAACGAGTTAGTAATCAAAATTTTCGTTTACTTATTTTTATTTATTGAAGACGATACCCAACAACTGAGTATAACAAAAATTTCTATTATTTTTTACAATAAACTCAGATGTATCCTAATTTTTTTAAATCAATAATGATATTAGAATAGCAGATTATATTAAAATATACATTTTTCATGTTAAAAAATAAAAAACATTTTCTTTAATAAATTAAAAAATCAAAAACATAACGAGAAGAATAAGGAAGGAAGAGTAAAACTAGCAAAGTTATTTGGAGAAAAAACTGCCATTGAATTTAATTCGCTTTATAAAGAAATAAAGCGTATTACACAAATATTTCACTTAGTTGTAACACCCTATTATATATTGGGAAAAATCTGGGGTTAAATATTTAAGCACATACATTTCTGAGAGAAATTAATCGAAAGAATAGAAAGATTAATATATATCCAATATCATTTATATTAAAGAGTGCTGTCAGTAAAAAAATATAATGAGTCGCTCAAGAAAAATATGATTTTCCTTCATTATCGATAATATAGTAAAAAAAGTAAGCATATAGAATTTTATGTAATAGAATTTTCTCAATCATCTAAGATTCAGAATACAAAGATATTGCAGATTTGAGAATAGAATTTTATTTATGGCCTTTTGTTATTTAACTCTTTTTCAATTACCGTTATAAATTTAACATCTTTATAAACAGTAATAAAATTAGTGATATTAATTAATGATAAGTGTTAATATTAAAAATATTGTAGGAGTTTACTTAGCCCCGCATATATCATTTATTATTGGAAGAATATATTTAATTTTTTTTTTTCATTTTGAAATATCACTTAAGGATTTTGAATATTAAATTAATTTAAGTGAATTAACTTTATATTTTTTATCAGACTCTTAAATTCATTAAATTATATACTTGAAGGTTTAGGTAATCTGGTCGTCACTATGATAGATATTCAGTTATATTAAATATTTGTAAATTCATATGATTATAATATACATAAAATATATTATACAAATCGACATCTTCTGATTTAGCAATAGAAAGAATAGAATTTGCAATAATAATATTATAGAGATAATTTTAAATTTTATTTTGAATTAATTTAAGATGTGATCGACATATAATATAAAAATATTGTTAAATTTGTCATTAAACATTAAAATAAACCTGTAGGTTGAGAGACTGCAGTGGTTACTAAAATTTACATTATATTATATTATTTTCTAATTAATATATAGATTATATTATAAATAGAATTATTTTAAAAGCAATATTTATTAATCGTAGAATAGAATAGTTTCTTGCAACAAAACCAATTTTAATATATTCTTCTTAAATCATTTTAGTTTACAGAAAAATTTGCTTTCAGAATGCAAGTTATGTCTAGGGTCTAGGTTATCTATTATATTTCAAAATCAATAGCCAATAATTAAAGCCAAGCATATAAATATCTTTTTATTAAAACGGGCAAGATGTTTTAAATTTTGGCTGGTACTTTATGAATCTATCACCATATCATTTAAAAATCTGGGGTAAAATATCGATGGCAATATATTTCTGATAGAAATTAATTTAAAAAAATCTTATAAAAATTTTTATAAATCATAAGTTATATATATCAAAAAAATGTTTTTGATAAAATATAATAAGGAGTAGAATAAGACACATATGGTTTATATTCATTATTTGATAATATAGTAAAATAGGAAGCCTAAAAAATTTTCTCAATCATATAAGGTCCAGAATATCAAACTGGTATGAAAATATAAATAGCGATTTTCGCTTTGTTTTAACAGAATTTTTATTCATTATCAATTATTGGACACACATTCTGATTATCATTAAAAATATGACAATGTATGACATAACATATCATTAATAAAATTAGTTGTTGTGTGATTTAGCTTATGACATCTGTTACCTCAAACTATATGTTGGAGTATAATTTATTAACTAGATACCATCTTTCATGAGCATAAACGACTTAAGTCGATCATCATATATATTTTATTACTAGATGCATATGTATCGGAATTATTTTTCCTTTTAATTATTTTTTTTTGAAATCAATAAATTTATAATAAAATGATTACACAAGGTTTAAGCACTCTGGATGCTGTGATTAAGATATTATATTAATTATTTCTCAGTTCAGATGATTAAGAATAATATTTTATAAAATTAACATTTTATGATTAAATAAATATGAGAATAACATTTACAACAATAGCATCATATAATGATTTTGAATTAAAAAAATTTTAATATAGTTAAGTTAAGAAAATTTATTATTAAACATAATGGCATACATGGTGGTTGAGGGAGTGAACTGGTTACTAAAATTTTTGTTAATAATTTATTAAATAATTAATATATCAGGATTATATTATAGTTGAAAATTTTAAAATCAACAGTTATTGATCTATCAATATCAAAAATTAGCATTACCCAACAATAACATTTTATAAGCTATTTTGAATAGTTCCTTTTTAAATTAATTAAGCTTAAGATCATCAAATATTCTAATCAAGTTTTGAATTTATCATTGAGCATAATATCCCTGTAGAGTTGAGATTGAGGGAGTGTAGTGTGTACTACTATTTTCTAGATTTTATTTGTTAAATTATAGTGTGTCAAGTTTTGAGTCTCAAAACTTATTTTAAATTGAGCGGTTCAATAAGCCGCATGAGTCGGTTTAAATTAATTTGGAATCGGCCTGTTATTATTATTTACTCCACTATGATAATATTTAAAAAAATTTAACCACTTTAAACCGGGAATTTAGATATTTTTAAAATTTGAAATGATTTATGTATATTATTTTATTAGTTTTGAGCGAGGTAAAAATTAAATATCAGTTAGTGGGAAAAGATTTAGATTTGCCAAATCTCAAGGGATACGTATTATTATTTTGGCTAAAATCTTAATCGGGCCATTTTCAAAAATTGTCTCAAATCGGCCTTTTAACAAAACTAATATCCTATTAACGAGTTCCATGAAATCAATTTATACTCTGACAAAAGACTGGGTATAAGTCATTTCATAAATTGCCTACTAAATCGGAATTTTATTGACACCTTACACGAATGCGACTATATTAGATAATTGCATTATCTAAATTGGGTCACCAGAGGAAAGGCTAACGTAGACATTTGTATAATTCTCAAATATCCATTTAATATTTTCTTAATAGAACAGGTATTGAAATCCAATGAAACTAGAAAATAATTCAGTTGTTGAATGATAATTGTTTACATGTGCTGCATAATAAACTTTGCATTTATTTTATTTCTAAGATTTTAATAATTTGAATCGACTCTGAACTTTTTTATTCCTAATTTTAATTTTTTTTCTCAAACCAATATTGCTTTGTTACTTCATAGCTCTGTTATAAAGAGCACAAAGATTCACTTGGCAGTAAGGCCAGAATATTTAGTCAAGTATCAAAGTTTAGCTTGGAATAATGGACTCGGATTTTCTTTATAGTTCGTATTCATTAAAACTAAAAATGATGAATAAAGTTTCATATAATATTTATTTTGTACAGCTATAATATAAAAAATTATATTATAATTTATAAATCGATGTAATATAATTTTACCCCTTTTATTTATAATCATTAGCGATGAGAATTAAATGTCTGATTGAAGAATATGCTTTTAGCAAGGTAGAGCCATTTATGTGTTATTCTTTTATGATAGATTACATAATGAACAAAGATTTTTTTGAAAAATCAGGAATGAATCAATGGTATAGTATGTAAGAAAAACCTCCTTATGTTCCTTTTCTTTTTTTAAATACATTACAATATTTTATTACTTTTTTAAAAAAAAAAAATAATATAGATTTTATATTTTTATATAGCTTATACCTTTTATTGTAAGGTGTAAACGTTTTTTAAATCGAAATTTTATTCTAAAAAGTTTAAATTTTTTTTTAAAGTATTAACAATATATAGGGTAGTGGTAGGATGCAACATGCATGTAAAAAAGCGTGCATAAATGAGAGTAATTTCTATAGCTATTTGTAATTCTTCCAAATCAGGACGAAGCTCTCTAATTTTTGGAATTTATGATAAATTTTGAATATATAATAACATTGATTGAAGAAACAATTAATGCGAATTTATAAGATATTATGCTCTAGAAGAAATCACAGAGAATATAAATATGTATAATATTTTATTGAGCAGATAAATAATGGTATTAGAAAATATATTTTTTTTGACTAACAATAATAGGAATGGCATCACGTTAAAATGACATTATACATATTTATAACTACGAAATAATTTTAATAAAATATATTTTATAACTACCAAATAATTTAATAAATATAAGAAAACATTGGGGTTTAGTTTAATAACTGATTCTTGTTGTTACTATAATTTTAGTCGTGATTTAATATATTGAATTACATTATTAAGGGAATTATTCAAACATTAATTTTTTGATCCAATAATAATAAGAATGGCACACATCTTAAAATAACATAGGACGATTTTGAATAATTATAATTACATAATAAATTTTGAAATTTATTAATAAATATATGTTCGAGTTTCTCTAATAGTAGTGCTTACTAAAATTTACGTTTGGATTTATTATAGTGATTTTATTAATTGATAGAATTTAATCAATTTTTTTGATCAAACAATAAATATGAATGGCGTCACATAAAATTAAAATGATATGAACGATCTTGAATAAATATAATTTATAATTACGAAATAAATTGTTAAAAATTTATAAATCTATTGATGTAAATAAACCTGGGGTTGGAGTGTCGCTTGGAGTGGTAACTAAAAATTCAATATATGAAATTTATAAATAGAATAATTATAACTTTTTTGTTCTAACAATAAAAAAGAATAAAAACATTATATGGACGAATTTGAATAAATATTCTTAAATCTCCCAAGTATAATTTAAATTTTGCTATTTATCAAAGAATAATATAAAATACTTGTAGGTAGAATTTTTATAATTGTAGTTGTCACTTAAATTTTAGTTTACGATCCATCAAAAAAAAGTAGCGCGATATTGGTTATTATTTTTTAAAAGTATCTTTGGCTACTTTTTATAAAAAAAATTGAAAAATAAATTTGTTTTATTTTTTGCTTATAATGTAATTTCATAGTATATATTAATAAATTTTAGTTAATTTTGATTATAAAAAAATTTATGAAACAACAAGCAAATAGCGACACATTTACCATAAAAATGATTTTATTATCCAAAATATTCAGTCCTCTTTCATAATTTTGCATCAATGAAATCTATACAATTCCAATATATCAAAATTTAATTGTAGATTAATGATACAAGAAATTTAAGTAAATACTTTTTCCTTTAATATTTCCTTTACTTTTAGATCACCAATCATCCTCAATTATTATACATCAATTAATAAACAAGTTCTTTTATATTATTCCTAACATAACACTCTACATTATCAATTCTATCATTCTTACCAATCTTTACAATTTACTCTTATTTATACCAAAAACTGTTAACTATTATAAAATTGTCATCCAAACATTTTATATATATAAAACACAATCATTATTCACACTTGAAAAGGATAATACATTTAATCTCTTATCTAATTATACTATTGATTCAAATCCGTTAAAGCAAGCTAATATTGCTATAAAAGCAGAAAGGGAAACTGAATATTTCACAAAATAATAAAATAATTGCCAACAGAAAATAATTCTCTGCCAAACATTTATTCAGAAAATGATATTGAAAATGTGATTTCTATAAGACCACTTGCACATCATTATGCTATGATACAAAACTTTGACAATGATTTACCCAAAAATATGACTGATAGTTAATTACATTGTATTAGAAGAATATGGACTCTATAGCTTACTATTGCAAAAACCCCTTCATGGACTAAATATTACAAGCTAGACTGCAAACTAATATGAATTCAAATAAATACAAAAATTAAATGATATTGAAAGTGGGATTTCTATATGATCACTTGCACATAATTATACTATGAATAAATCATCTTCCATAATCAAACCTCAAACATTGAATAAAACTTATCAAAAATTGCCAAACATTTATTCAGTTAATAATATTTCACCAAATATTTATCCAGAAAATGATATTGAAAGTGGGATTTCTATATGATCACTTGTACATAATTATACTATGAGTAAATCATCTTCCATAATGAAACCTCAAATATTAAATAAATCTTATCAAAAATCAAAAAAATAACTCATTAAACTTCCTTAATATACGAACCCACAAGAAACCTATATTTGAAAATAAAAATAATATCCAACATTTTCACTCTTAAACTGATAAAAAAATTTTAATTCATGAGCTTACCAGACCTCAGCACAGCTTCTACCAAATCTAACTGCCCTTTATGTAATAAACTTGTTAAGGTAACCTGATTGGGGCTATTGCCATCTCATCGAAACCAGAAGATAAAATGTCCTCAATCTGGGCTTCCCATCTTATCACCAGCTATCCCTCGAACCCTAAATGCCTTTTCTGCTCTTGCCCTCGCACAACCTATAGTTACCATTCCCACATTGACTGATGTGCCTACTAGCCCAATAGTTCCCACCTCAACCGCCGAAAATGCTCTTACTTTCAATCCAACCGACTCCACAGATGTAGAAATATTTTTAGTCACACCATTCACGAATACCTAAGGGAGCAAGACTTCAAGTTGCCAAACACCTCTCAAAGAACTTGACTTCCTTGATAAATAATTATTCTTCCATAAAACACTGGTTAGACACCCTGTTTGCCTTTACTACCTTGCAAGTTCCTGATCCTGGCAGCAAAAAATCTCTGACACAGCAAATCAAGGATGCTACTATCTACCCCTTACCCATCAATCACTTTTCCACATCTTTTAAAGGTGATGACACTAATAAAAATAAAAATCACAAAAATGACCTACTCACCAAGGCCAAGCTTATATCTAAAAAGCTGGATAACCTGAATGTTAAATCCGCCATACGACTGGCAACATCTGACAATAAGCTAGCTCCCTACGATCAAACAACTTATCAAGCTCTTCTCCTAAAACACCACCCACACGATCTTAAGGACGAAATACCGTCTTACCCCGAAGCTCCTCTAATTGCAACCACTTTTACCTCAAGCGAGGTTAGAAAGGCTATTCTCTCCTTCAAACGCGATTCTTCACCGGGGGTTGATGGGTTTCGCCCAATATTCCTACAGGATCTAACCGCACCTTACATCATACAACAATGCGACGTTTTGGAAAAAATTATTCAACTCATCAACCGTATGCTTGCTGGAGACTTACCACCCGCCATTATTCCACTCCTTTATGGAGCTAAACTCATCGCCCTCCATAAACCTAATAAAGATATTCGCTCTATCGCTATTGGGACCACTTGGCGCCGATTAACCGCAAAGCTAGTAGTGAACAGAATATTGTTCACAGTATCCAATCACCTGTGCCCTAATCAATTAGGAGTCAACGTAAAAGGGGGATGTGAGGTATCCCTACACATGACCAGAATGTATCTACAAACAGACCCCAGTGACGATATCCTATTTAAGATAGATTTTTCAAACGCTTTTAACTCTCTAAAACGTACAGCGTTTCTTAATCCCATCCTTACCCTTTACCCAGAATACTCGCAATTCATCTTCGATTGTTATGCTAGTCCATCGCATCTTCAATTTGGAGATAGAATGATTCCTTCTAGTAGTGAAATACAACAAGGTGACCCACTAGGCTCCTTCTTATTCTGTCTGGGCATTAATAGCCTAATACAAGGCATAAATGACCAATGTAAACTAAACCTTCATAACTGGTATATCGTCGATGGTATACTAGGCGGCTCACCCAGCGAAGTTATGAAGGCGGTCGAAATAATAAAATCCAGCGAGAGCAGTTTGGGACTGCGAATCAATCAAGACAAGAGCGAATATTGTCCTCTTAGAATCATCGACCTTAACTATGATCCTATGTTCAATCATACACCATTGAACTTGAACTTCTTAACACATCTCGGATCTCCAGTGGGTAAAGACGAGTCCTTTGTCAAGTTCTTCGCTGACACTCTACTAGAGATATACCTTATGCGCGGTACACTATCTCGCCTCCCAGCCCACCAAGCGTTCTTTTTATTAAAGAACTACCTCCTAATCCCAAAAATTCTATAAAAACTCCGATCGTCACGTATCTTCCAATACGACGTCAACCTCCACACGAGCTAGAGATTAAACACCTCACAGAGGATATACTCAATCTCAAATTCGGAGACCTATCTTGGCTACCTACCTTGCCAACCAAATCCGGCGGCATTGGCATACGAGCGCCTTCCCTACTCTCTGTTAGTGCGTTCATATCCTCTCGCCTGTCCTGCGAGCCCATCATACACGCACTTACAAAACATCCTGACCCTTTACTTCTCCAGGCAATTGATCTATGGAAATCTCTTTCATTAGTCGATCCTCCCTCATCAGCACTGCAGAAGGACTGAGATAAGCCTCTAGTTGGCAACTCCGTTGCATACCTTAAATCTAGGAGCCAACCCGAGAACTATTCTCTACTCTTCTCCATTTCCGCAGACAGCGGGTATGAATTTCTCGAAGCTTTTCCATCGCGAAACCTTGACCAGCTCCTAAGCAATGATGAGCTACGTCACGCCATCGGTCTAAGACTTAATTGTGATATGGTAATACCCTATCACTGCATCCTTTGTCAAACGCCGGTCAACTCCAAAGGCCGTCACTCTTTACACTGCAAGCGCTGTAGAGGCAGATTCATTAGACATTCAAAATACAATGATACTATTGCCAGGGCCCTAAAATCTGCTGTATCCCATCAACCCTCGAACCTACTGGACTCTACAATTCTGATGGTAAGGGTCCCGATGGCTCTACCATGATCCCTTGGAAGAGGGGGGAAATTCCTAACCTGGGATTTCTCATGCATCGATCCCCTTGCCGCTTTTAATATAAATAGAGATGCTCTAGTAGACGCCGAGACGTATAAACTCGCTAAGTATTCGCCATCACTTCCGGCCAATTACACATTCCTACCACTAATCTCCACGATCGTTCGGCTCTCATGCCCTGGCCTTCTTTAAAGAGCTGGGGGAACGGATCTCTACTAGAACCGAAGATCCCAACAAGGGTTACTACCTACGCCAAAGTTTAGCCCTCAATATAATAAAATCCAATTACCTCAGCTTCATATTCTCAATGACTGATACCCCCTAATCACAGAATCGGCGATGAGAAGAGCAATTAAGAACAAGAGAGGGATATTCAGATGGAAGTCAACAAAAGAACCAAACCCTAATCACAGAATCGGCGATGAGAAAAGCAATTAAGAACAAGAGAGGAATATTCAGATGTAAGAAGAAAAACTGAAGGGCAAACTATGAAAACTCATAATTCTTTTAAATCATATGCTCAATTTATTATATTAATTTACTATATATTATTATTTATCCTTAAAAGATTTAATAACAAATGTGATTATTTTTTAAATTGACATATTAATGAAATTTACTATTATATTGATCTTTATTATATCATACATTTTATATTTTTCAATTTATTGCAATATTAAATTTATATTAAAAAAAATATAGGGAATTATATTATTAAGGGAATTATTAAAACATTAATTTTTTTTGATCTAACAATAATAAGAATGTATCCATATTGTAAAATAACATATGACGATTTTGAATAATTATAATTTATAATTACTTAATCAATTTTGAAAAAATTTTGATATATATATTAATAAATATATATATACCTGCGGGTTGAGTTTCACTGGTAGTAGTGGATACTAAAATTATCGTTTACGATTTAATATAGGGATTATTATTTTTTTTAATATTAACTATTAAATATAACTTTTTAATTTAACAATGATAATAATTGGTCGATGAATAAATATAACTTATAAACTAATTAATCACTTTAAAAGAAGTTTTGAAATTTATTAATAAATATAAATAAACCTAGGGATTGAGTTTTGCTGATTGTAGTTCCTAAATTTTTGTTTGGATTTATTATAGTGATTTTATTATTGATGTTAATTATCAATTTTTTTGATAAAACAATAAATAAGTATGGGGTCAAAATTAAAAAGATATGAACGATCTTGAATAAATATAATTTATAATTACCAAATAAATTATAAAAAATTTATAAATTTATTGATGTAAATAAACCTGGGGTTGGAGTGTTGCTTGGAGTGGTTACTAAAATTATCATTTTAATATTTAATATAGGGAGTTGTAATTTAATATAAAAGATTAAATATAACTTTTTAATCTAACAATAATAAGAATTGGTCGATATTGAATAATATAACTTATAAACTAATTAATCACTTTAAAAGAAGTTTTGAAATTTATCAATAAATAAACATGGGGATTGAGTTTTGCTGATTGTAGTGCTTACTAAAATTTATGTATGGATTTATTATAGTGATTTTATTATTGATTAATTATCAATTTTTTTGATCAAACAATAAATAAGAATGGGGTCATATAAAATTAAAATGTAATGAACAATCTGGAATTAATATAATTTATAATTACCAAATTAAAAAAAATTAATAAATTTATTTATGTAAATAAACCTGGGGTTGGAATGTCGCTTGGAGTGGTTACTAAAATTATTTTATAAAATGAATATGAGTAGGTACAACTAGGTTATGGCACGGTGGATTGATATACTATGAGGCCTGCAAATTTCTATTAAAATTTATTGACATAGGTAAAAACCTTACTGAGGATCCCCGAAATTATATGCATTTTTGGCAGTGTGCCTTAAAAAAATTCTTTTTTCTGGGCTCAAAAGTATCTATTATGAGAGAAACAATGGGGGTTAAAGTTATATTAGGAATGCTAATGTATTTATTAGGTTTTAGAGCTAAAGGATGGTTCAAAAAACATGTATAATCCTAGGCTGGCGAGATTCCCCTGATACATGGAATAAGTGTCATTCCATACGCCTGATATTGTCCCCGAGATTAAAACTCAAAGTTGATGAAATATTAGCTGAAATGAAAGTTCTAGCAACATTATTATTTAAACAAAACAATATATGAATTACATTTGTAAAAATAAAATTATATGGCCTATTTTGAATAAATATAATTACTTTCCATTTTAAAAAAAATTTGAAATTTAGTAATACACACCTGGAGGTTGACTTTCGCTGATTATAGTGACTAAAATTTTTATTTATTTGTGATTACATTATTGATATAATTATTTAATTATCAACTTTTTATCTAGCAATATATAAGATTAGCATCATATAAAAATAAAACGCTATGGCGATCATGAATAAATATGTTTTCTTATAACAACCAAATATACCCAAAATATTTTGAAATTTTAATGCAAATTAACCTGGGATTGGAGCTCTGATTGGAGTGGTTACTAAAAAAATTTATTCATTATATGATGATTACAAATAAAATAAAAATCAACCGTTTATTTGAAATTAACATTTTATATGATTAAATAAATATCGTTTTAAAGAAATTTTGATATTTATCAAATAATATTATAATATACTTGGAGGTTGAGTTTCTATGATAGTAGTGGTTTGTAAAATTTTAGTTTACGATTTATTATTGTGATTACATTGTTAATGGAGTTATTTTAATATCAATATTTTATATCTATAATAAGAATGGCTCACATCATAAAAGATATTTATGACGTTTTTTAATAATTATAATTTATATAAATCAAAAAAATTTATAAATAAATATATATGTGAGTTGAGTTTTTCTGATTGTAGTAGTTATTAAAATTATCATTTACGGTTTAATATATTATTTAAACTATTTTATAACTTTATGAAATAACAATAATAAGAATGACATCATGTAAAAATAACATTATATGGTCGATTTAATAATTTATAAGTACTTAATCAATTTTAAAAAAGCTTTATAATATATTAATAAATATAAATAAACCTGGGGGTTGATTTTCGCTGATTGTAGTCGTTGCTAAGATTTTAGTTAGCAATTATATATGATAACATTATTAATGAAATTTTTTAATAATAAATTTTTCCATTTTGAATAATTATAAAATTTATTAATAAACATAAATTAACCTGGTGTTTGAGTTTTGATTATGGTGGTACCTAAAAATTTATTTGTGAGTTTAATTTTATGGGGATTGGGAATTACATTATTAATAAAATAAAAAAATTAACATTTTAAATTTGAAAATTACGAGAAAATCATCATGTAAAAATAACTATAATTTAAATCTACTTCATAAGTTTTAAGTATTTAAATTTTATCCAATGCATCTCACTTTTATTTAATTTTCAAAGAATATAGATCAAAATACTTTAAAAAAATGCAATTTTTTAAAATGTTTGATAAAATTCAATTTTTTATTAAAATTCATATACAAATATGAAAAAAAATAATTATTTAAAAATTAACATTTAATAAAATATATGACATATATCAGTTTAAGTTATAAAAAAAAATACAAATGTATATTTTTATAAAAAGAAAAAAAAAACATTTAAAAAAAAGAAATATCAAATGGCGAGGTCGGGCCATGATGTTTTAAATATTTGATAATTAGATCCAAATACAGATACGGCGATTTTCTGCTTGAGTTTGTAAAATGGAGAAAGGCATGATTTTTTTATTGATTTGGATATTGTTTTGAATAGATCTAAAGCCGCTTGTCCAAAAGAGCAGGTTGATGTAGCTGCTATTGGAACAAATTGGTTATCACACATTAGGTGTGAATATTTTAAATTTTTTAGGGATTCAGCTCTGTTAAGGGGATCATGGCAATTATTAGATGGAGCCATGGGATCAATGCAGGTAAAATCTCACTTTAAAGGCTTTCCCATGAAAAAGGATACGATTTGCCGTCAGGGCGTTTTTTATCAGGATGTAGGTTCTAAAATACGGGAAAAATTGGCTTTTTAAAAAAAAGAAGCTATTATTGCATTTATTTTATCATGTCGGCTGATTTTTGATATAAATTTACAGTGGAGAGCGTGTCTCCATATGCGTCTGCCGATTGATTGCATTTATTGCAAATATAATGGTTTAAGAAAGGTACACCCAAGCGTAAATTGATTGCATAACGAAAAGCGTCGTTATCTATTAGCTGGTTTTTTTAAATACTGGGATATGAATCTGACCATTCATGGCCAGAGTTGTTGAAATTAAGAGATCTTAGGAGGGATTTATATTGGTGATCATCGCTCAAGTTGAGGTAAGCTAAGGAACGAGATACCAATCCTTGATCCCAATCTTTTTGTTTCGTTGAATCTGGCGGGGCTGTGTTTGCTAAGACATTAATGTTCCAACAACGTAAGGCTTCATCTAATAAATTATCTTTATCGATGGTAATAATTTGCGAGGTAATATTTTTTACTGATAAGGTTGATGAGATGAAGGAAACAAGGGCTATACTTAATGCCGATCTTAGGCCTAGTCCTCCGGATTTACATGGGAGAGTTGCTTGAAGCCACGAGTTAGAATCGAGTTTGATGTTTAATAACTCTGTCATTATTTGTAGTATCTTTTGTTCATATTCTTTTAAAGAATTTTAAAAGAACAGGCACCAGAAGTTTTTAAACAATACTGGATTTGTGGTAAGGGCGTTTTTGAGAATGTAGTATGCTTGATGGATGGATAATTTTTTAAGATCGATAGTTTGGGGAATAGTGATTGAAGGTGATTATTTAAAAAATTAAAAACTCCCTCTGCACCTCCCAATGGGGCTCCTAATATACTGAAATCTTGTAAGGGTGTCCGTCTAAAGTTATCTAATATGGTGTCTGTTGTAGGCGGAGAAGGATAAGTTTCGCATTTATTTATATTTAAGGATGAATTAAGTTCATCAAAGTGTTTGTTGATTATATCTAGACAATTCTGGATTGAAGAAATGGTCCCCGATATAGTACAATCGTCAAGGTACCAAACATGTAGATTGAGTTTGCATGAAAGAGCAATATCACTTATTAGGTGTCTAAGGGTATAGCAAAAAAGTAGGGATCCTAATGGGTCATCTGTTGGAGGTCTTCTGCAGAATTATTAATATAATCATTAAATTTGAATAAGGAAGGAATGCCATAGCTAAGATGGATGTAATTGTGGTAGTCAGGGAATGTTTACAAGAAGGTATCGATCATTTTATTCCTATTAATGAATTAAAGGCATTGGATATGTCTAATTTTGCTATATAATCTTCAGGTTTGAGGTTAGATAAAACTAGTCGACTGCAATGGATTGCAGCTTCACAGCCTCTTTTTACTCCAAATCCCACTTGGTAAGGAGCTAAGCTTAAGGTTATTGTAAATTTGAGTCGATTACAAATAATTTTTGAAATGGTTCATCGATAGAAAATTCCAATAGCTATTGGGAGCACTTGATTTTCAGCTTTTTCAAGTGCAATTAGTCGAGCACCAAACCCAAGAGGTCAATAATAAATGAAGGTGTAAGGAAATCCAGCCCTGGAGCAGAATCGTTTGTAAAAAATTTAATAGCTGTTAAGGCTTCTTCGGGAGTGATATTTATCTTTGAATTTATTACAGTATTTGAGGAGTGTATTTGGGGCTCGGATGTTTTTCTAAAAGTTGATTTCTTGTGGTGATATTATCGGGTGCCAAAGTGTTTGCGTTAGCAAGAGCTCGGAGAGCTCTTTTTAGATTATTAATCTTATATATTAGTTTGTGTGAGGGGTTACTTGAAGTCTTTTTAGCAGGATCGTTGATATTTGGTGATAATTTTTCAAAATTAAGATCAAAGTTTTCAATTCTTTTTTTGATTGTTTGGCATAGTGGGGTTGGATTATCTTTTAGTGGTTTTGATAAAATTAATGTTGGGAAATATATCAATTTTCTCCAATTTAGATCTTCTAAATTTTGTAAAATATTATTAATAATTTTGTTATAAAAAGGATAAATTATTAAGGGCTGCTTTTGGGATTCGTGATATGGTAGGGCTAAAATAGCTTGTTAAAAATTTTGGGTATTCGGATAATTTTTTATAAAGGTCTTTTCCTGTGTTGGATTTTCATTTGGTGGATTAAATAATTGATAGTCATTTGGGGTTGAATGGTGGTGGAATAACAGGTGAGATGCTAAGTGATGAAGGTTCAAGCAGGGATACGTATTTTTTTTTATGTTTATCTCTGGCTTGTTAAATTTATCTAGTACTATAAAAATATTTAAACTTATATTTCAAAATATTATTTTTTTTTTACAAAAAATAGAAAATAAACAATCAATAATACTTAAAAATAATAATAAATAAAAATTAAACAATCCTAAACTTATTAATAGATAAATAACCAATAGTAATTACTGCTCTAAAACCATAATCTTATAATAACTTTTGATAATAATATATAGAAATTTATTCAAAGAGGTGTTTCCTATCTTGATTTTATATTTTATTTGCTTACGGGTTATTAGATTAAAAGGATTTTTTAAAATTTAGCATTTTTTTAAATCAAACGATATTAAAAATAATATCTTAACAATAATATTTTATGGAATGATTCGAATAGATTCTTTTTTAAATCAATTTTTATGGACTACTAAATAATTTTAACTATGTTTTAAAATTTATCGATTAAATATAAAAATATATTTGAGGAAAAAGAGGGTTCTAAAATTATTGATATTTTATTATATTTATTATTGATAATTAGTATATCGACATAAATATAATATATTCAACATTTTTATTTATACAATAAAGAATATCATTTAGAATAACAAAAATGTTGTATTAAGTATTTTGAGTTTCTTTTTAAATAAAAACAAATTAGGTCTCTATAAGTCGACATTTTTGATCTAGATCAAACAAAAATATGATAATAATTATTTTAATTAATTTCGGTTAAGAATGAAATAATTCTGAACAAGTTTAGAAATTGCCACTTAATATCAGCTGATTTTATTAATTAATTATGTTGTTTTATGACTTAAATAATTATATACAAATTAAAAATATTATTATTTTTATTATTTAATAAATATGAGCATGTTTTATTTTCATCCATTAATTATCACAAATATGAAGTAAATAAAGCCAAAATTTTAGTTAACATAAAATTATATCTTTTATCATAGACTTCTAAATGCCCAATTCTATAATTTTATACATTAGGAGCCATTTGCAAAATAGCACCTTTTATTTTAATAAATTTATGTAGTGATTTAAAAGTTTAATATTTCATGTACTTATGAAATTTTTTATTTTTTATTTAAATCGCACATATATACATTTCAAGATATAACATTTTAAAAAGATATAATATAAAAATAATTAATTATTTTTTAAAAAAATTCATATTTAATGAATGTATAAACTGAAATATCATTAAACAAATTTTATAATAATAATAATATATAATAAAAAAATAAAGTAACATTTCACAGAGATAAAAAATTTAAAAAAATTTATTTTAAATATTTTATTATATAGCAAAAAAGGTTTAATTAACAATGGAATATTAATATATATATTTTATAATATCTAATGATAAAAAATTTAAGTTATAAATAGTTATTAAAATTTATTATAAACTTTTATTTATATATTCACTAATAATTATATTCTGAAATTATCTTAAACTTATAACATCTTTGTATAACGAAATTTATATTATATCTTTTTGAAAAGATTTTGCAATTTATATTTATATGCGATTCGAATAAAATTTTAAAAAACTCTTGAATATATGAAATATATTTAATGTTAAAATCATTATAAACATGGACATATTAAAATATAAATTTTTATTTTGCAAATGGTGATTATTTCAAATATGTTTTTTTTACCTTTGAAAAGTTTATGTTAAGAAAAATATCGTACAAAATCAGCATTCTGAGACTAATTGTTTTTTTTATTCTAGTTTAAAACTACCAAATAAATTTAAATATTAATAAATATAATATGCTGATGTTATGTTATTGTCTATTTCGTTATTATAATTATATTCTGATTACATAAATTAATAACATTTTATTAACTAGCGATTACAAAATGTCACAGGGTAATAATATAATTCTATCGACTATTTAAAGTAATTTTTAAATTTCTATCAAAATATACAAAAAAAATAACATCGTGGACTATTTGCAGCAATTTTGTTTAAATTAATTAAATTAGAATAATCGAATAATTTTATAAATGTTTTAAAATATATGAATAAAACATATTTACATACCTGGAGGTTGAAAAACCGAAGTATTTTCTAAAATTATTATGATATATATAATTTTTTAATTAATATAATGATTGCATCATAAATTACATTATTTTAAAATCAATATTTTTTATGTCAGGATATTCACTGAATGCTAACCTCTTAAAAAACCTATACTTATCCACACTAAAACAGTTTAGCGGCTTTCGCTAAAGATATTCCCACATTATTAACCACTTTAATGATGCTTCCTTCAAAAAGATTATAAGGAATAACTTAAATTATTAATGCTCTATTAATTCAATTAAAAACCTCCATTTAATGAATACATTATTATAATATATTGTTTGGCATGAAGAGTGTGCTAATATAGTCTCTAACCATTTTTAATTTTTTATTTGGGAAATAATATCTATGATTGTGTACAATATAGATTATGTCGATTTTTAGCAATACCATTGAATTATAATAGTATTAAACTTAACGGCAATACATTTTGCTCGATTTCATCTAAAAATCTAATGGATAACCCCCCCCCCCCAATAAGTTTATCCTACCCTTACTCTCCTCAAAAATATTTAGATGCACAATATTAAAGCTGAATAAGAAAAATAACATCGTATAATAATTTGTATGAAAAATATTTAGCTATTATGGACTATTTTCGAAAACTTCTATTTAAATTATGGTTAAGATTATCCAATAATATTAAACATGTTTAGAAATTTATCAATAAACATAATAATTTACCTAAATTTTGAGTTTGAAGGCATTGAGTGTTTACTATTATATTTAGTTATTATATTGAGTTAAAATATATTGTAATTACAGTATAAATTAAAATATTTAAAACTAGAATTTTTTGATATAAATTAAGAAACCATCGTCTACAAATATCTTGTCAATTCATATTAATAACTCCTTTTTATCAATCCTTTTATGTCAAATTTTATAATTTTGGAAATTAAAACAAACCATAAAATTCTTCCAGACATCCTGGAACTTTAGGAACGAACCATAGGGAATATGTGTAAACATAGAAAATTATATACATATATATACCTAATCTTAGTAAAGGCTTAACAATAAATTTTAACCTCATTTTCCTTATAGGGTAACATAGCTACAAATTATTATTTAAATGACTCTTAATTATTTTTAATATATTTAGATTATAACTGACAAATAATATTAGATACAGATTTAAATTTAGAACATAATATATAAAATTGATATAAATAATAATAGAGCATTTTGAGATTGTTATGTATCAAATTTAAATGTAAACAATTTTTTATTTTATATTAGCAAGGAATAAAATAATAAAATAACATCAATGGATAAACTTTGAATATTTTTTTAAATTTTAATTTCATATTTATAAATAAACATCAAGATTTATACCTGAATTTTGAGGTTTTCCGAGTCTAATGTTTAACTTAACTATAATAAAAGTATAGGTATTCAATTTAATTATAACAATATATTTCCAAGAGCAAAAATAGTTATTTTAAGTCAAATTTTTCACTCAAATATATAATGTAAATCAAATTTTGTCAATTATTTGATATTTATAACTAAAATGCGAATTTTAATAAATGTATAATAATATAAAATTTATTTATATTAACTGAGAGATTAATTGAAAGTATTTAGGGAAGACCTATTCACCTAAAATTAAATTAACCTGTTTTCTATCAAATTATTTTTACCATTCATCTAGGCTGTTTTAAAATAACAGGACATGCGAGTTACGGCTAGCAAAAATCAGGGATGAGAACTCGGAAGCAAACTCAACCCTCCCGAACCCTTGATATTTGGCTGAACCAAATCCCGAACCCTTTTTTTAAATTTAAGATTACAAGTTTTTTTTAAAAAAAATTACTTTTTTTCATTTAAACTTTCATTTTATTTATTTTAAATTATATATTAAAAATAATATGATATAAAAAACGTGTAATTTACTATTTTCATTTATATAAGATTTCCTATTTAAAAAGAGTTCTTATTTAAAATAATCGTTTTTTTATTCAAAAAAAAATCATTTTTAATCATTTTTTTCATGGAATGTTATATTTATTAGTTGGCCATTTTTCGTAAAAATTTTTAAATTTTACCCAGCATAGCCGATTTTAAAGTTTTTTTTTATAAATATTAATATATCATAATATATATTTTAGGATATTATCGTTTGTGGATTATTAAATTAATAATAAGACAACGAGAAGTACAAAATCATGAATATATTATTATTATGATGATAAATTATTTTTATTGCAATACTAATTAAAATAAATTTTTTCTGGTCTTCGAACCCTGAACCCAAACCAAGTTCAGATATTTTGACTGAACCCAAATTCATTTAAAAAAAGGTTACACATCCACGGAAAAAATCTACTAGAAATGATAAGGAATCATAAGCATAGAGTTTTTAAAAGAGTTAATGATAATTTACAAATAATAAAATGGAAAATTATATAGGTTATGGGATAGAAATTGGTAAATTTAAAAAATATTATCGAGGTTGTTATACAGGTTATAGGTCAAAAATTAATAATCATATCAAATTACCCAAATCTTACCTATATTTAAAACACAAAATTTGGAAATATACCATCGAAACCTTATATGTTTTAGGAATGCATTTCTTTTACTTGTTTAGGAATATTTGTAATACAATTTTTTTAAATATTTTATATTATTTTTTGCTCCATAATTGTTTTATTTGTATTTTTTAATATTTATGTGTAATAAATATAGATTGGGTAATTCCTATATTTTTATTTTTAGCCATTAAGCAAATTTTTAGCCCCTAAAAAAGCTAAACCATGTTTTTACCCGTACTATTATTTATTAGAGATTTTTTTAATTTGAAAGACACTGTCGATTATTACACACTTTAGTATATTTTATTCACTTATAATATTTATTTTGAAGATTCGAAATAAAAATATTTTCGCTATGAAATGCTATTTTTACTGAAAGATTATAATTCACGACAATAAAATCACTATCTATATACCTGTATTTAATTTACTACCAACATAATTAATTCTGCTTTAATCAAACCCTATTCTACTCTAATCTACCACTAATCCTACAAAAAATAAATGATCCATGATCAAACCTGAAATAGAATCAATTTTAAAATTTTCAGTAACCGGTTCTAATAAATCTAAAATTTTATATAATGTTCGAATGTGTGAGTTATTCTAGAAAGTTTATATTACTTAAAATGTTTTTAATTGCAAAATTTATTTGGAATATATTTAAATGGTTGAGCAGGACGACGCACTATAAATAACATGTTATGATATAACTATCAAATAAATTGGAGAAAATATAACCTAGAATGTTCTAAATAACTTAGGTTGTGATTAATTAATGTAATTTAATCATAATAGAAGGTAGACAGTTTTAAAATAGTGCAATATATTCTATTATAGATATAATTCTAATTGAGCGATATTTTCTCCATAAATAATAAAATTCATTTGAAAGCAAAATCTTATTAGTTAAATATTTTTATTCAAGATAAAATTTTAAAAAAATCTTGAGCAAAATATTTTTTATTATAATTTTCATTCACAAAAATCTTGATGAAAGCAAATTTTTTTCAAACTCAAAGAAAAAAAAATTTGTAACATTGTAACAACCTAAGAGAATTAAGTCATAGTAATAACATTGCATATAAATGCGTTGACCTATGTTATAACCCTACAACTTAACTTGTTCATAATGATGTTAGATAAATTTTATTAGCATTTACAAAATATTAATTCATAAAAAGGTCTTAGAAATTATTAAAATTTCTTTAGATATTAGGTCAACGTAACTATATACAATCATATAGACGATTTTAATCATTATAATAAAATTAATTTCTTATGCAATTTTTATATTTTTTGAAAATATATATAAACAAACTCGAAAGATTTTTATTTATCATTAAATATTAACTAAAATGACTTCTTGGTTATAATATAAATTATTAAAAATACCTGTTGAAAAATTGGGGTTCGTGTCATTTTCCCATTCAATGGTTAATATTGAACCATTCATTGATTGAATTTCTTGAATAAGTAACATCGTCATATAATCACATTGACATATCTTTAGAAAATCTTTAAATAGATAACAAAGTAATTTGGTCAAAACTAAATATGAAATATTATTAAAAAATGACTGATAGTCACAATTGTCTTCTATTATTATATTACTGTTATCTAGAAATTAACCCTTTATAATTCTGAATCTATAATTAACTTCGCTTATAATCATATTAAATTAAACAAACCTTAATTCATCAATATAATTTTATATACCACAATATTTAGGTTCCCCTGATGTCATGTTTACTGTAATAATATTTCCATTTATAATATTTAAACTACAATTAAAAAAATTATTTAAAATAAAAGTGATTATGTTTTGATCTAATATTAAGTAAAATTTTGAAAAAACACATTATAAATCAATGGATGTTTATTAATTAAATCGTACAAGATTGATAATGGAAATAAGATGGGAAAAAACTCTACCGAAAAAAATGCAGAAAAAAAAACTTAAGTAGTTAAGGATGGTTTAATTTAACCGATATTTTAAAAAGGCTAACTCGATGTTTTTACCAATTACGCAAGCCATAAAATTTTGCCCATACATAGCACAATGGTTCTCAAGTCTCAAGTATTTTTGGTTCAAATCGAACTTTATTTCTTTTTTAAATATCCATAAGCGTAAATTATTAAATAACAGCTAGAAATCTTGATACTTTTGAATTATAAATAGTTAAGAAGATAAAACATATGACATGCACAAATCTCAAGTAAAAAAGTGCCCGAAAAATAGCTTATGAAGATTTGGAGGGTGAAGCCACCCCCTCCCCTAAAAAAAATTATGCGGCCATAGGATATTCATTTAATATACGATGGAGAGGATGTGGACAAACAAAAGATAGGGTTTAATTTAAAAAATCAATGAGCAAAAGATTTAAATTTTAAAATTTATATGCAATAATCATGATTAATTATAAATGGATATAAATCAAT